TCCTTGAGATTTTATCCGCGTTTCTTCTGAAGAAATGATAAAAAGAAATTTTTGTTTCTTCACCACAGTTTGAAGTTTCAAATAATAAATTTGCATAGATTAGATCTGTAAAAAGGTATATATTTTTAATATAAATATAAACACTCTAGCCTGTCACCCAGAGGGGTAGGCAGAGACTACGGACTTCCATTTGGCGCACACATATCATATACAGTATGATATGCCATATATATATTTTTAATAAAACTATAGTCACATAGATAAGAATTACCAAATTTTTGGGGTGGTGTATGGCTTCACAAACTAAAATAAATAAATAATGATGTTCGCAGAGACCCGTGTCGCGGGTTTGTATGTGCAGATCCGTCACCGTATCGCGCGATTTAGAAGTTTTGTTTTTGGGTCGCAGAATAATCTCATCGAAATTATTTGTAATATTTGTGCATTTAGTGAAATTTTTAGTAGGTGGTCAAATTTATTAATATCTTAATAATAATATTTAATTATTTAATTAATTATACAATAATAAGAATTAAAATTTAAGGTATAATACAAAAATTGAATTTTGTAATGGATCAGTGTAGTCTGCATCAAATAAATTATCATTGTTATTATTTATGGGTATCTGTATAGTTTTCTTATCTGGTTGGCCTGTATAAATATATAATTGTAAATGAAAATGATAAACAACATAAATATCAACAAAATAAATAAATACATAAAAAATACATAAATAAATAAAAACCCAACCAGATGGAAGCCCTCGGCAGTTAGGGGGAAAGGGAAGAAACCGGTGGACGATGCGAGCGGTATCGAGGAGCACCGCCTACTGCATTTGAGCTTGGAGCGGTCCGTCACGGAGTCCCAGTCGCCACAGATGACCCGAGAGGCTGACTGGGATTAACCCGTTCGCAGAAACGACTACAGGTATAATTTCGGTCGACAGTCCACCTCACATGTCGGTCACCTCGTGAGCCAGGTCCAGATATTTTGTACGCTTATCTGTTGTTATTATTATTATAAATAATACCTACTTTCTATTAAGTGACCAAAACTAAAGCCAGTTAGGATTTTGGCGCCCAGCTGCTTGGCAGTAGAAATAGTTAAGAGAGTGGTACTCCGGGCTGCTACTGAGAGTATCTTGTCAAAAAAACTCAGCAGCTGCCCCAGGATTCGAATCCGGGATCTCATGACCAAGCTTTCAACGCTTTCTCTACTGGCCATCGACGCGAAAAACCATCAGCAAACCGTAAAACCATCGCCAAATAATATAGATGCAGCGTGGTAGAACCATACTATGTTATGGTTGTACAACGATTGAGTCTGCTCGACCGGGGTAAAACTACGCTCCCTCAGAATACCTGTTTAAAATAGCAGCATAACGCTGATGGGTTTCGTATGGTGAGTATAAAGAGCCGGAGACCCTATTTACTTGGATGGATACATTTTGATTTTTAATTGAGAATAAATATAGATGTCTATGGGTCACAGCATCCACTTACCATCAGGTGTACTGTATGCTCGTTTATCATCCTTGTTATAAAACTAAAAAAAAACCTCTGCGCCCGGTATGCAATCTTTATCCTCAACGCATATGTAGCGTTGTTTGTTTGAAATTGGTTGTAGGTATCATCGGTTACGAACTGCAGCAGCACTTTACGAGGAGAACTGGTAACGAAGATTAGTTTCAACAGTCAGCATTAATTATTTTAAACTTGTTAATAAGAGGTGTTTTTTTTATATAATTTATCTTTAAGTACTTACCCAATAATATGAGCGAAGATTGCCTCGGGTACTGTGAGACTGCGGTAGCAAAAATTCATTTTGTGTCCCCCTGCGGACTTACTTAACTCATTATATACAAATCTCATGGAACCTAGAAATCTGTATGATAGTCTGTAAGAAGATCTCTACATGTTTTTTTTTAAATAGAATAATGGTGACAAACGAGCACACTGCCCACCAGATGGTAAGTGGATGCTGTGGCCCATAGACATCTACATCTATACTCAATAAAGAATCAAAATGCAAATGCATTGTCACCCCTGAGGGCTAAGATGGAATGCCTCGTTTCCAGTAAAAGGGGTCTCCGGTTCTCAACACTCACCATACGAAACACAACTGCATTACGCTGACATTTTACTTATTATTTATATATACTTATTTATTATATATTTATTTACACACATAAGTAGTGTAGTTGTACCACTTCTAGACCACCTGAGTCATACGTGGTTCAACGACGTTCGTCGACACACGATCCTAAAAAAAAAAAAAGGTTTTGGCATGCTCTGATCACGAATCCGCGGTCCATTTTTGTGTAGAATGCACGGTTCCGGAGATGTGTAGATCAATTAGCTAATAGCGTCCTATTGTTCCTATTTCTATTGTTCTATTGTACATTAATCACCTTCATTGCAGCGTGTGCGTCGACTATATCAATGCTTTTGTATTGTACTTCTTTGTTCCTAATTATACAACGCTAATCTGAATCATCAATAAAACACATTACATAATTTTGTTACAATTTTTATTTATAAAATACAAAATCTTAATACTTATTATCTATAAAATAGGAGCGAAACATCTCATCCACTAAAATATCGTTGTACAATGTGTTCCTTGTAAATATACTCGTAAAACTATGTATTGAACATCCTTGAAACTTATATAGCAAATACATTAAGCAATATTCGCAACAAACTGAAGTCCACTCATTCTGAATCCTATCAACATTCCAGTTCCATCTTTTACAATTCCTTTTTAAAAACTCTAGATGATATCGTACAGGTGATCGTCCATATGAATCAAAATATTGACCGACGTCATTCGTATCGATATATAAAGCTACCCAATGTGACCCTGGTTTATCATCTGTATCCAAATTACATATTATATACGTTGGTACGTGGGTATACATAGGCAGTCTATTAGCTGCATAAACATTATTTTCTAGACTGGGGTGAATCAGCGTGTGCGTCGACTATATCAGTGCTATTGTATTGTACTTCTTTGTTCCTAATTATACAACGCTAATCTGAATCATCAATAAAACACATTACATAATTTTGTTACAATTTTTATTTATAAAATACAAAATCTTATTACTTATTATCTATAAAATAGGTGCGAAACATTTCATCCACTAAAATATCGTTGTACAATGTGTTCCTTGTAAATATACTCTTAAAACTATGTATTGAACATCCTTGAAACTTATATAGCAAATACATTAAGCAATATTCGCCACAAACTGAAGTCCACTCATTCTGAATCCTATCAACATTCCAGTTCCATCTTTTACAATTCCTTTTTAAAAACTCTAGATGATATCGTACAGGTGATCGTCCATATGAATCAAAATATTGACCGACGTCATTCGTATCGATATATAAAGCTACCCAATGTGACCCTGGTTTATCATCTGTATCCAAATTACATATTATATACGTTGGTACGTGGGTGTACATAGGCAGTCTATTAGCTGCATAAACATTATTTTCTAGACTGGGGTGAATCTTTTTCAGATGTTGTTGTACATCAAGTGTATCCATGATATTACTGCTATTAGTACATTATTACAGTACCAATCTACTCAATGAATAACATAGGAATGGTCAATTATAGTGATTTCTAAATATTAAATTCCATTTTTGTGTTATACAAATCGTACTTGAGTCATTGATCACCAAACAAAACACAATACGAAGAAATGTTCAGATAGACAACGGAAATGTGAGATAAACTGGTTGACGCATAAAGTAATTATCAACTCATTACGGAAATACTTTAGATTAGAATTTTTACGTACTGGTGGTATATAAGACCAACAGACGCAGTCATCGAGTTAGTGTACGGTCGTTTGACTACAGTAGATCTATCAATAGTACATTTGTGTTACTTCAATACACCAAAGGCTATGGATGTAAGTGTTTATTCTATTGACTAAATTACTTTTTTTCTGTTATTTTCATGTGTGTGTATTATTTTATTTAAATATTGTGTATGTATATGATTAAGCCGTGGTAACTCAGATGGTTAGCGCTAGCTGTAAATTTCACAGTACGCGACCCGGGTTCGATCCCCGCCAGCACCAATTAAATTGTTAATCGCAATTTTAAGTGCTTATTACCACGTGCTTGATGGTGAAGGAAAACATCGTGAGGAAACCTGCATGTCTGAGAAAATTTCGAAGGCATGTGAAGTTCGCCAACACACATTGAGGGAGCGCGGCGGACATTTCCTTGCTCTAAAACCCTCTCAGAAATGAGAGGAGGCCTATGTTCAGCAGTGGACTTTAATAGGCTGTAACTTTAACTTTTTTAACTTTTATGATTAAGTGTTAACAAATTGATATTAACATGATAACTGTGTTGTTGCAGAAATCATTGAGCTTCGATGAAGATACCTATAAACAGTATTACTACTCGCCACTCTCCCCTCAAGAAGAGAGTGATAACCTCGTCATTAATAATAACACATGCGATGGTGGAAAAAGAAAATCGCAATCGATTGATCATTTTTTTGAAGCTGAATCAAAAATAAAAAAGAGGAAGCTGTTATCATCAACCGTAGCACGAGCCGCTAGAGATGGTGTATCATACATTTCTACTAATTCTGACGACGGAGACCAAGCGACGCATCTCATCAAAATTGAAATGTACGATATGAAGAAGCTATCCAAGATTCCAACTACTGATCATTGGAAACATGCTTCCACGAGAATTAAATATTACGTAAAGACTAATAAGGATAGCATCTACGACAATACAAACGCCCTCGTATACAATATAACAAAGACAATAGCAGAAAGTGAAAAAGTTAAAAAATACTTTTTTAACAATGACAGTCATTAGCTGATCATTAGTGAATGTGATTCTGTTTACTTCAATTACAGGAAGACAAGAGCGGAAGGAAGAGATGAGTGTGGCATACGTGTACAAAACACATCATTGAATAACAAAACTACAACACTGAGTGGAGAAGAAAACGAGAAGAGTATGCAGTACTCAAGAGCTGAATATCCATTCTTCAGTTCAAAATCTAGCCGTTTGCTTAGTTTCGAAAACTGGCCTCTAGTTATGCGACAGAAACCTGAAGATCTTGCCGAAGCTGGTTTCTTTTATACTGGCCATGCAGACGGGACCAAGTGCTTCCATTGTGGTGGTGGTTTAAAAGATTGGGAAGATGATGATGATCCTTGGCAGCAGCATGTTCAGTGGTTTAGTCAGTGTGCTTATGTAAAATTTCAACTCGAATAGTGTTTTGTATTAGATTAAATAGAAGATTTATAAAGAAATAAAAAAAATATATTGCATACAATTTGTTTTATTTAATTTTATAACGTTTCACATAGTTACATACACACAAAATGCATTACACATAACACATAAAATCTAACACACAACACATATTATATATGCTTATATTATAGTATTCCAGTTCCATCTTTTACAATTCCTTTTTAAAAACTCTAGATGATATCGTACAGGTGATCGTCCATATGAATCAAAATATTGACCGACGTCATTCGTATCGATATATAAAGCTACCCAATGTGACCCTGGTTTATCATCTGTATCCAAATTACATATTATATACGTTGGTACGTGGGTATACATAGGCAGTCTATTAGCTGCATAAACATTATTTTCTAGACTGGGGTGAATCTTTTTCAGATGTTGTTGTACATCTAGTGTATCCATGATATTACTGCTATTAGTAGATTATTACAGTACCTAGCTACTCAATGAATAACATAGGAATGGTCAATTATAGTGATTTCTACATATTAAATTGCATTTTTGTGATATACAAATCGTACTTGAGTCATTGATCACCAAACAAAACACAATACGAAGAAATGTTGAGATAGGCAACGGAAATGTGAGATAAACTGATATGTTTCTAAATATTAAATTGCATTTTTGTGTTATACAAATCGTACTCGAGTCATTGATCACCAAACAAAACACAATACGAAGTAATGTTGAGATAGGCAACGGAAATGTGAGATAAACTGGTTGACGCATAAAGTAATTATCAACTCATTACGGAAATACTTTAGATTAGAATTTTTACGTACTGGTGGTATATAAGACCAACAAACGCAGTCGTCGAGTTAGTGTACGGTCGTTTGGCTACAGTGGATCTATCAATAGTACATTTGTGTTACTTCAATACACCAAAGGCTATGGATGTAAGTGTTTATTCTATTGACTAAATTACTTTTTTTCTGTTATTTTCATGTGTGTGTATTATTTTATTTAAATATTGTGTATGTATATGATTAAGCCGTGGTAACTCAGATGGTTAGCGCTAGCTGTAAATTTCACAGTACGCGACCCGGGTTCGACCCCCGCCAGCACCAATTAAATTGTTAATAGCAATTTTAAGTGCTTATTACCACGTGCTTGGTGGTGAAGGAAAACATCGTGAGGAAACCTGCATGTCTGAGAAAATTTCGAAGGCATGTGAAGTTCGCCAACACACATTGAGGGAGCGCGGCGGACATTTCCTTGCTCTAAAACCCTCTCAGAAATGAGAGGAGGCCTATGTTCAGCAGTGGACTTTAATAGGCTGTAACTTAAACTTTTTTAACTTTTATGATTAAGTGTTAACAAATTGATATTAACATGATAACTGTGTTGTTGCAGAAATCATTGAGCTTCGATGAAGATACCTATAAACAGTATTACTACTCGCCACTCTCCCCTCAAGAAGAGAGTGATAACCTCGTCATTAATAATAACACATGCGATGGTGGAAAAAGAAAATCGCAATCGATTGATCATTTTTTTGAAGCTGAATCAAAAATAAAAAAGAGGAAGCTGTTATCATCAACCGTAGCACGAGCCGCTAGAGATGGTGTATCATACATTTCTACTAATTCTGACGACGGAGACCAAGCGACGCATCTCATCAAAATTGAAATGTACGATATGAAGAAGCTATCCAAGATTCCAACTACTGATCATTGGAAACATGCTTCCACGAGAATTAAATATTACGTAAAGACTAATAAGGATAGCATCTACGACAACACAAACGCCCTCGTATACAATATAACAAAGACAATAGCAGAAAGTGAAAAAGTTAAAAAATACTTTTTTAACAATGACAGTCATTAGCTGATCATTAGTGAATGTGATTCTGTTTACTTCAATTACAGGAAGACAAGAGCGGAAGGAAGAGATGAGTGTGGCATACGTGTACAAAACACATCATTGAATAACAAAACTACAACACTGAGTGGAGAAGAAAACGAGAAGAGTATGCAGTACTCAAGAGCTGAATATCCATTCTTCAGTTCAAAATCTAGCCGTTTGCTTAGTTTCGAAAACTGGCCTCTAGTTATGCGACAGAAACCTGAAGATCTTGCCGAAGCTGGTTTCTTTTATACTGGCCATGCAGACGGGACCAAGTGTTTCCATTGTGGTGGTGGTTTAAAAGATTGGGAAGATGATGATGATCCTTGGCAGCAGCATGTTCAGTGGTTTAGTCAGTGTGCTTATGTAAAATTTCAACTCGAACAGTGTTTTGTATTAGATTAAATAGAAGATTTATAAAGAAATAAAAAAAATATATTGCATACAATTTGTTTTATTTAATTTTATAACGTTTCACATAGTTACATACACACAAAATGCATTACACATAACACATAAAATCTAACACACAACACATATTATAACCTTAACTACTATAGTCTACAGTAACATTTCTGTTTTTATCTATCTCAATAATATTATCAAACTCAGCATAAACTATACAGTTAATTGTTTGTATTAATGAGGATTCAAATCGTACTTCTATTCTTACACTACCATGCTTTATGAGATTCCAATGAGTTGATGAGTTAGCTGATAAATCAGGAGTTAAGTCAAATGCTAATAGACAGTAACCTTTGCCATACTGTTCACAAGAGATTCCATTTCCTTCATTAAGAAAGTGAATACCAGTTCCCGAGAATAGAGTATGATATGCTGATGTAAATATGCTATTATTAAAAGATGGTTGCAAAGCTTTTGAAGGTATTTGTTGACCATCAATATATAAGCTGAAAGAATTAATACCATAGTTTTCAAAGTTAAATGGATTTTTAGTAAGGGAACCATTAAATGCAGAATTGTTCACAAATCCAATTATACATCTTTTCGGTACCTGTCCTAAAAATATATTATCAAGAATTTTTCCTTGAACACCTGAAGGAATTGTTAAAACTTTTACTTCAGCTCGAGTAATAGGATATTTAGCAGTGGTAGAAGCTAAAACTTTTTGATGTGCGACTAATACACTTGGATTAATTCGTGCTCGTCGCACAATAAGAGTTGCGTCCGTAATGCAAACTTTAAACTTTACATCGTTCGACCCAACAATTAAATTAAAACTCTCTCTTGATCGAACCAATTTAACACTCATTTCAACACCATTAATTAAAAATTTATCTTGGTTAAAAATGTCACCGTGAAGATGACCAATCATTTCTATTTCCTTACTTTCACTAATCAATTCCTGTCTTTTAACAAATCCTATGTTTTTACCATCTGTAGAATCCATTTTTCCTGCTGTATCCTCATACCAAAGACTACAAGTAAGATGAGATTGTTTAGCAGCAGGGGCATAGTTTAAAAGGGTTTCCATGTATGCTCGATATGCATAGGTATTATTAGGTGGTGATACAAGTTTTTGGTTTAAATAAACATCAAGTTGACTAAAAAGTGAATGCAGCCAATTATTTACAGGTGCTACTATTGTAGTAGATACCAAGTTAGTTGAATCTTGATTTAATACTTTTGTCTTTATGTGGAGTAATGTATGAGACAAATCTATGTAGTCATCGCCGGTCCCAGGAACTTGAAACTCGATAGGTCCATCATCACCAAGAGATGAAATTGGTTTATAATGAATCCACAATCCATTTTCAATGCTAGTTTGTGTAGACGGTAGTGCAAACAAATCCAATTCTGACTTAACGCACTCGCAAGAATGATTATGAAGGAAAGACATATTTAGTTTGAAAATATATCTTTGATATTTTTTGGTTTTAGACTAAGTTTTTTCGCAGCTTTCACTTTAGCAGTTAATGGTGGAATGAACGATGTCAATCGTTTTCTTTTAGTTTTATACCTAGATCCAGTCATGTTAAATTGATCAATTTTCTCATCAGCCTTTCGTTTTAAATTCGTACTAACTTGCTTTAGACGATCTTTTATTGAGGCTTCCAAATGACGGGCTTGAACCATATCCGATAAAAGTCCTACTCCAGCGCTTAATGCCTCCTTACCAATCACTCGAGCACCACTTGAAAGTAAAGGTAAAACTGATCTGAATAACCCCCCTAAGAAGCTCCCAATACCATGACCGCGTTGATATGGTGAACCCTTATAAATTACTCCAACTCCTGATCCAGCTTGATGTGTATAATAATTTTCATATGGACATTTATGATGATCACGAAGAGAATTCATTATTATAATTTTCGGAAATGTAGTTTAATACACACGGTTCCAAACTGGAATGGTATTTTTTGTCCTGTACTCGATCTTATAACTATTTCCAACGTATCGAACTCTCTTCGCATAACAGGTAAGTAGTGAGGTTGAGAGAAAACGTGCATTTTATTTGCACCATAAATGTATTTTGTAGGATCTAATGAAATGACTCTTAATAAAGGAGTCATAACATCACCCACAATCTGAGGATCGATAATATCGCAATATAGAAATAGTTGAGATGGTAACCCTAAGTGTAAATTAGCAGGACACTTTCCAAAATTTCTCTCTAGGAGATTTTTATTTGGTTCATAACCTAGCTGTAAACTTAATTTGGGTGATAATGTTACGGATGTTATATTTTTATCCAATACCGAAATAGACACAAATTTTGTTATTTCATCATAGCGAAATTTCAAGTTCTCTCCGATACCATTTAACACTCTTAAAATATGCTCAACGTTATCATAGTTGGTAGCTGGAATATGTTTTTTGTAGTACACTGTGGATGGCTTATCTTCATTAGGCATTAACATAGATTTTGTAATGTATATAACATTTTCATGGTCTTGAACAGTAAACATGGTACATGGATATTGAAACTCGACAACTCCAACCGACCATTCACCTTCTAATTTTATAGCTTTTGGTAATTTCGTTGAAAAATTTGTGGTCTTGTTATCAGGAAAGTATTCCATTGAACTATTGCTGAGCAAAGTTAAATAGAAACTTTCTTTATTCATATTTCTTTTAAACTAGAAGCTAAAATCCAACTGTTAAATTTATCTGGATAACCTTTCCACTTCACTAATACTTCTTTTCTGTTACCTGAATAACGAGTGTCAATTATTTTATCTATTTTATGTTGTGAGGTGGGGTTGTAAGTGATTTTCTGTAATTCTCTTTCATAAAAAGTACCAATTATTGGTTCATTTTGTAAATCTGTTATTGTATAAACAACCCATGGAGATCTATCAATTATTGAAGATATAATAAATATTTCATCACTCCAATTTGATTCATATCCTTTTTGGAATACATGTTTATATTTAGTTATTCGAACATAATCACCCACATTGAAATTTGGTTTAGGATTTTCTAAAGAAAGTTTTTTTGACCGTCTGTCATAAAGATTAGTCCAAACTGTCATAATATTGTTGGAATTTACATCACATGGGCACATCTTAATACTAGAGTGAAAGCTGTGATTATAAGAGTATATTAAATCTTGTAAAACATCTATATATCTATAAGTATTATTATGAGTGAAATAACGCCACATTTTCATTTTTAGTGTTCTTTGAAATCGTTCAACAATACTGGCCTTAATGTCAGGATTTTTAGTGGTATAGTAATTAATCTTTTTGGATTTAAAGTATTTTTGTACATCTTTTGAAACAAATTCGGTACTACCTTTATCGGATTGTATGTGAGTAGGTGTTAAATTACTTTCAGTAAATATACTTTCAAAACATTCTTTAGTTGTTTCTGAGTTTTTCTTTTTCATTGGTCTTGCAAAAGCATATTTACTAAATACATCAATAATACAAAGTATATACTTGAAACCATCATTATATTGAGAATAAGTTCGCATATCACTTAAATCAGCTTGCCACAGTTCATTAATATTTGATAGAATGTACCTATTACGCGGGAATTTTTTTCGAATGGGTTTATGTAATGTGTATGTTTCTTGTGATTTTAACCATTCCTTTACTTGCTTTTTATTCATTTTACCCTTCATGGCTTTTGATAATTTATCAATTCTACCAAAACCAGCGGGATTAGATGGATCATAATAAATCCTGTTAATTTCTTCTAGTACGGAGTCCATTTTTCCCACTCAAGTCCTTTACGTATTTTAGTTGTAGACTTTTTATCTCTACTGCACGGTGTAGAAAACTCTTGAACTTCAATCTCAGAGGGTTTGTTCAGATCTTTTGCTTGAAGTTGGTTAATAAACTCACATCTCCTTGGATTTCCAATATAAGTAAGTGGTACTTTAATATCTTTTAATGCTTCAGCAAATCTAACCCACCCTACCGGATCACTTCTTTTTAGGGGTCTTAGTGAATCATTTATTAAATCAACAATATTACTTCCAGGAATTTTTTCACTATCAATTATGACTGTACCTTCGTTATCCCAATGTATTTTACTTTTACTTGTTTCAACTAAGTTTAATAATAACTGCCCTTTTTTATGATAAGTTTTTGGTATTAAACTGAGTATTTGAGCTGGTGTGTAAAGTGGATTTTCATCATTTTCTTTACTTTTAATGGATCGATTCTCCTCCAGCAAAGATTCAATATCAACTGAAGTTTTTAGATCTCTATCTTTATTTTTAAAACCAATTTTTGACTCATTTGAATCTTCATTAGATGTATCAGAATAAATTGGTAATTTGAGTGGTTGACGATCCTCTTCAGTAAAATGAAGGTATCTTTGCAGTGTTTGTAAATATAATATCCATTTCTTTCGGTCTTCCGTCTTACTATTCATAATATTTTGCATTTCAATATCTAATCGAGATAAATTACTATTAACCTTATTTTCTTGTTTTAATTTTTCAATCAATCCAGGTTCGATAAGTATCATTTTCTTTGCATTTTCCATGTTAACTGGCTAGTCCACTCACTAATCCACTCAATATTGCACCTAATATTGTTGGTAAGAAAGCCCCTCCTTTTTGTATAATTATATTTTTTCTTAGTTTATGTTTACACTTACGTACTAGTTTACGGAGTATGTTTTTATGTTTATTCAATTTTTGTTTATCCTGATCTTTAAGAGGTACTTTTCCTTGTAAAACGTTATGAATACACTCACAAATACAGTTAATTTCTTCTTCATCACACGTTTTAAGTAATGCTCTTTGATATTTTGGTTTAAGCGTATGCAAAGCGGTTAGCAAATGTTTATACGTTGTGAGTCGACGATGCATCATTTAGCAATGATTTCAATTGTTTGATTCTTGGTGTATTTAAACTCTTTTGTGGGGACGTAGACTGTACAAAAACCATTAAATGGAAAGACATTTGTCTTGATACGACAAAAATCATTGGTATTCTGTTTTAAATCTACCATTAAATATCCATGTGCCTCTAGAGTTGCATCCCTGTAGGCATTTTCAATGAATTTTGGGTTATCTGGTGATACTTGTCTTGCTAAATATCTTATTTGAGTTTTATCTCGAGGGTTTTTAAAATATATTATATAACTTGAGTTTAAAGATATGTCTCTTTGTCCTTTACCCTGATGAAATAAATTTTGTGTTAGATAAAATACACTAAGATTCCTGTGATGACTACCTTTTGTAAATATATCCACAATTCTTCCATCGGACTCTCTCATTAGATCATCAATAATAACAAGATGTGGGTTTTCACCATCAAACATATTAAGATTTGGAATTCCTTGATGATAGTTAACATTTGGTAAATTATATAATGGTTGCATTTCATCAAAGCACCATGTGATCTGATTAAAATCACAATTACATATTTCTGTAACTGATTTTATGAAATTTGTTACAAAATTTGACTTCCCACACCCACTTGGTCCTGCCACAATAGCAGTGAACGGATGGATAAAGTGAAACATAACACACGTCTAAAGTTCAAAGGGGTGAAATAAAAAATGAAAGTGTTGGTGTAAACAATTAATATATATTCCAAAAATTATATAAAACAGAATTATCTGTATACTATTTCTAACACAATTAGTACATCATAATTTTACAATTAACTCAACCTCAAATAAATAGAAACAACAATTAGTACATCATAATTTTACAATTAACTCAACCTCAAATAAATAGAAACAACAATTAGTACATCATAATTTTACAATTAACTCAACCTCAAATAAATAGAAACAACAATTAACTTAAATTATTTACAATAAAACAATGTTTAAATATGTAATAAACTACGTCATATTATAGTATTATCATAATTTTACAATCAATATAAATTTTTCTTAAACGCAGACATAAAAGTAAAAACTATCAACACTTAACGCAGTTTATAATGACCCCAAGCTAATGTTTCAATATTATTATCTAAAATATGTCTCTTTGTGTCATTATATGATAAACCTATCTTATTTAATTTTTGTGTGAAAATTGTGTGTTTAATTGATTTAAATCTAAGCATACTATAATATTGCACTTTTTTATTAAATAGAGAAGACTTATAACTAATCATTGTCATCTTTTTAGTGATACATTTATTTACCCCTTTTGCCTTGGCTATAGTCTTATTCTCTAAGTTAAAAGCGTACATTTTGGATCGTAAACCCACAAATTCTTTCATGATTTTACCATTATTTTCATCTTTAAAAAAACCTAATTTCTTTTTATTTAATTTTGGATATTCAAAAATATTATTTGTATCATAATCTGAGGTATCAAAGTATGATGAAAGGTCAGGTTTTATATCAGTGTAAAAATCATTTGTAAATATATGATATATTAAACTATCCGTATCTGTATACAATAATTTGATTTTACTA